CCAGAATTGTCAATTCATCATCAAAAGTCACTATCCCACAATTTGAGGCACATACCATGCAACTATTGATGGATAATCCCATACCTGAATAGAGGTAAGAATTGCAGCCACATCGTAAATAGGACTCCACTGATTTTGCAGAATGTCCAAACAAATGCTTCCATCAGCGTAAACTAGCAAAAGATCAAAGCGAATGAGGACTTTAGTGCCAGCTACGGCTGAATGATATATAACATCAACAGTTTCTCAAGAATTAAAGTTACTCGACTTAGTCCATTCGGATTTCTGAAAAAAAAACTTTGTAACCACCACTGTAACCAAAAAAATAATATTATAGCTTGAGGGCAGTTCATACAAGTCATATGGTACTCTTATAGAAAAACAAGTCATATTGCACAATATGCAAAGTACTACCAAACAAAAGATTGAGTTGAATTTGGATAAAAATTCTTAGTTTCCCAAACAGCCTTTTTCCCCTTCATATACACATTAAACCTGATCAAGGTTATTACCATTGGCCAAGACCAGTTTACTTCACAATAAGACTAACGCTTCAATGCAAAACATAGAAATGCAGGTAGTCAGTATAAATGCATGGTACTACGAGCAATAAACACGGACATGGGCAAACATAAAACCCAGAGAAATTATATGCAAGTACTTGATTCAGCTATGGACAGCAAAATTGACAGGAAAATTGCAACAAGTTAGGGCCCAATGGAAAGACACCTAACTCTCCAAAGTACCGTGATTGTAGATACCCTTGCATCCCACTAACTAGGGTCACTCAAAGTTCTGACCCCAAATTATAACTCAAACCACAAATTGATTCATGATCTAAGTAATCTCACAGCATAACCCCAACCATAGTTGTCAAATCATGTATCGGAAGATGTATTATTTTTAAAAAATAGTGTATCGTAAGATACATGTAATTTTAAATAATTATTAAAAAAATTTATATACCTTTACAAAAAAATCATAGACCCATAATAACATCGCATTTCAATAATATTCCACCAACTACTCAAATTTTCCAATATAGTTCACTAGTATCAAAATGCAACGACAAAAGAAGAACCAGACTTTGCTTGGGTTTGCAACTATAGTCGAACTCTTTGCTATGAATTAATCAGAGGAAGAAGAAGAAGAAAAAAAAAAAACCCTAGGGTTTTGGCCAGGAAAAAAGCCTAAACCTTCAGTCGACTTCTTTGCAATGAATAACAATAGACTAGAGAAGAAAATTCCTTTGCGATAGTCTATTGGAATGAAAAAGACAAAGGTTGTTCTTCTTTACTATATTCGACTATTCAGTGGATAGCTTCCGGTCTTAAAACCCTAGCCACTGAAACGACATTGTTTCACTGGCTAGGGAAACAACATCGTCTTAGTACCAAAAAACAAAAAAATAAATAAATAAATAAATAAACTTTGCTTACCATATGTATCGAACAGTATCGTATTATGTATCATACAATACGGTGCAAAAATGATACAAAGATACAATTTAAATCGTTTTTCTTATGTATCATGAGTCTGTGACATATCGCGTATCATACAATACTAATAACTATGACCTCAACCCCTAATCATAACTCTTAACCATGTTATTTCTTTATTTTGATATTCTTTAAATTCATATTTTTGACAACATTTAGCAGAAATATAAAATAAATATTTATTAATTAAATGTATACGGATATATTATTCTATATAGAAGCTGTAAAACAAACCATGGCACAAAACAGCGTACCAACTAAGCCTACATCTGTCATACCGCGTATTGCAATAAGTATCGTATCACGTACCAAATCGATCCACAATCCAGATAATCATATGGATAATAAATGCATCAACTTATTAAAAAAATAACATTACTGACAAAAAATGTAAATCTGGCAAAGTGTGGTTCTTGCTTTCAACTTACTGTTTGGATGGAACATTCGAGAAACAAAACGCACAGTAGGAGGCTTATTTGGATAATCCTCAGAAAACTGGAGAGTCAACTTGAACGTACCTAATAAAATCAAAATATTATTGTATATAATTGCAAAATACAAAGAAAACACTAAGAATAAAACAATCACTAAGGTGGTGTTTGATAGAACTGAAAGTTGAATATTAAAAACTGAATACTTAATTTTAAATGTTAAATGCTGAATTTTTTAATTCGCAGACTGTTTGATATCAACTGAAATTTAAGGATTGAATTTAATCAAACTGTTTGACAAATATAAGGAGCTGAAGTTTGAAAATTATTATTATTTTAATTTTTCCCTTTTCTTTAACCATCTCTCCGCAACTGTCTTATTCCTATCACCACCATCACAATGGCGATGGTGGTGACGGTGGCGACAACAGTGCTGGTAGTGCTGGTGGTGACAATGCTGGTAATGGCGACAGCGATGGTGATGGTGGTGGTAACAATGTGGTGGTGGTGGTCTGGTGGCAATGGCAATAGCAATAGCAGTGGAGGTGGCGGTATCACAATAGTGGTGGTGGTGGCGGCGTCGGCACAATAGTGGTTGTGGTGGTGACGGTGATGGTGACACAATGGTGGTGATAGTGGTAGAGGCAATGTGGTGGAGGTGGTGGTGTTAGTGATGGTGATGGTGATGGTGGCGGCAATGGTGATAGTGACGGAAGCACAATGGTAGTGGTAGAGGCAACAATGGTGGTGACAGTGACACAATGGTGGTGGTGGTGGTAGTGGTAGTGGTAGCAGTGGTCGTGACGGTGGTACAATGGTGGTGATGATAGTATTGGTGGTGGTGACGATGACACAATGGTAGTGAGGGTATATTTATCAATAATGAGAAATTAATAAAATCCTTATTAACTAATATTTTCTGCATTAAATGATAAGTAAGTGGCTTACTACTTAAAATTTTAGCCTATTTTTAAGAAGTGCTTAAATATTAAATAGTATGAGTTTTAGGTTATCAAATGAGTTTAATTTATTAAGTACTTAAAGTATTCAATTTTAAGCCATAAGTGGTGTTATCAATTAACCCCTAACTATAAGACTTAAAACGAACCTTATGGTATGTTAAATTCATCAAATTGAAAGTTAGACATTAACATTAGCAAATGGACTCATATACCATCTTAATTATATTTTTAGTGATACTCTTAGTGAAAGATCAGCATAGACAAAAACAATTTGGGCATACACCGATCATATATCTGATATCTGTCAAGCTCTTGACTACATTTAACCTATACTGCATGATTCATACCAAAATGCTGACATGAAAAAGGAGTTTTCCATTTTCCAAAGTAGCCAGACAACTGACTCATGATAAACAATCATTAACCCAGAAAATGGTACATTGAAAAGTAAAATTTCTTGCCTATTTAGAGTAGGAAACTCTATGATCTTGCAGAATGGCATTCACATAGAATAACACAATCAACATATATTTCAACCAAGTGGAGATATTTTACTGAACATGCAAGTGGTTAAAAATTTATCCTTACATAGTTACACAGATAATTGAAAGAGTAAAACCAGTCACAGTTCTGTCTTCACAAATAATGAATTGAGAATAGGAGACAATTAAGCTTCACAAGTAAAAAAATTAAAATACATTAAAATGAACACACTAGGACTCTTAAATATGTTTGGACATTTGTTTCCCCGGATTATCAGAACAAACGTGGCACATACTCAAATTGCTAAATTGTTATACAATCAAATCAAATGATACATCAATGATAAGCTTCTAAATGCTCTTTGCATAAAAATGAGTCGAGAAAATGGCATACCTCCATCCCATGGGGTGTCATCAGGACTGCAATTCAACCATGAATGTATATCAGAATTACAATTCAGAAATATAATTATAACATATACAAACTCAAAAGAAAGTAACAGACAGAAACATACAGAGACAGTAATGGCGTTCATAACTTACCCAAATATAACAGCATTCCAAAGCATTATATTGTTGTCTTGAGGAGCGCCACTGATCCCTGCAGGAGGGTCTTGTTGCAACCTCTTAAAATCCCTCATTAACCTTTTCCTCGCTGGAGTTGACATCCTCACCGCCTATACAATTGACCAGGAAAAAAAAACATCAGCAATATTAATAACCATGACTATGAGCACTCACACAATTGCAAAGTAATTAAAACTAGGATCTGCCAGAACCAATCAGGGGACTGATGTCACAACAATTAAAATAATACAAACTGTAAGCTAACTCCATCACTGTGCCACAGTAGCAAGAGCAATCAGCACCCTTGTTGTGTGATCAACCGAGCTAGAAAAAATCATAGCTTAAAATCTCCAAAAAGCATGTACAATTAAATCTTAAAGCAACCACTTTGGAACACAGGTTAAATATTTTCACAAACGTCCTTCAAATCACAAACACGGAGGCATCAGATTAGCAATATGCATATAATAAAGCATCTTAACTACACGTATGTTGAAGAATAGAATTATGGAACTCCTCTGGATACAGAAGGACTTTGAGTGCAGTAATGGAAAAACAAAGGGAAGGAGGACATTTTGGAATAGCAAAAGGTCAGTCTAACAACCACAGCTTGTGGGTCTGAATTTGAGGGCAGTACTTTATGGAAATAAAGCCATAGGTCGATCTACATCCAGTATATCCTTCCCAGCACCCTTGATTAACAGGGGCTTGACTAGGTAATGACCTTTCATTTCATATATGAACTTTATCCTTGCATACACATGATCAGGTGGTGAATACCTAAAAGTCTGGAACTTTATTGTAAATCTTCCTATTATGAACAAAAGACCCGTAGATCCATATTATGAAAATCTCAAAGCTCTTACAAAATCAAACAATTGCATAAATCAGGGTTTTATTCTCATGAAAAACCAATTAATTCAATTATTCTTTGCATAATTACACAAAAAACAAGACAAAAATTATTGAAGTAAATCAATTGGATCAAGCAATACATAGAAATGATACCAACTATAACATAGGTAGAAGCTACACCATGAGAGAGCTCTCTTACTTGTATGAAAACGCGGCGAGGAAAGGGGAAAGGTTACACAGGAAGATACGTTTGTATCTGTTCAGAGGTAATTAGGTTGAAGATTTCTCAGATTCGATTGTTCAGATGAAGTGGATGAAGAGAGAGAGAGAGAGAAAGAAAATATCAGAAAAAGATATCCATGGTCACCGATTGATTGTGACAAAGAGAGAGAGAGAGAGAGAGAGAGAGAGATTGGTGTAAATTTGCGTGTGTGGGTATATATAATAGAGTGGGGTCAGCGGTCCCCAGCACTTTGTCTTGCCCAGTGGGCTGCTTCTGCTTCTGTTCTACCCAGCTTGCCACTGATAATTATACGCAATGCAGTGTTGTGTATTAAAATTGTACCTAGGAATGGGAAAATGTTGCGCGTAAGGGAGTTGTCAAGCGATCTAATTATTACGTTTATTTTTTTCATTGGGTCAAAGTACAAAAAAATTATTCTTTATAATTTTTTTAATTTTTGCGTGTATGAATTATTTTTGATCAAATCGAAAAAAAAATTAGTTAAAATGTACCTAACTTAACTTTGACACATGACCGCAATACCAAAAAAAAACAATTATTGCCAAATTTTTTATATCAAGTGATGTGATACGTTAATAGTCATTAAATAGTTCAAATTGGTTCCTAAGCAAAATCGGCCTGAGATAGAGATAATAAAACGATGATGAATGACAATTCACATATTTTCTAATACTTTTTTTTTCTTTTTTTCAATTAATAGATCATCCATCGTTTTAGGGTTCTTGGGACATATTGGTCAATTGTTAAATGCGATCATATAACCTTCAAGTTGCGTGTTTAAATATAAGAACGGAGAATTTGAGCCAATGACATCAAATGTTAGATTTATACAGACATTTATAAATAGAAATTAAGCTAAGGTGTTATTTCTTCAGTAGATTATATTATGAGTAATGTTGGATGAATTTAAAAATTAGATTTTATAATTTCAATCATTGAATAAGTAGTGAATCCAAATAAATGTTGAGACTCACATTGAAATTAATTGTTATAATTAGCAAATTTAATTTTTAAATCTATCAGATAACTCATTCATAATGTAGGTCACTCTTGAGTTGACCAAGAATGATCTAGATTCAATTAAGAACAAGTAGTAGATTACAAGAGATCCAAAATTCATTTTTCTCACCGAGGTTGCGTTCCATTTATCTCACAAAAATTATAGTTAATTGTTTGTTCCTAGCCTATTTTCCATTTTTCTTTGGCCTAAAACCACAAAAATAAAATAAAAATTGATCAGTTGTTTGGGTTTTGTTTTGATCATGACTTGTATCATATATGTTTTTAAGTCTATTCCATTGTGAAAAGAATGATTTTATCTATAATCAGTAAAGTGTTTTATTTTTTTTAGCGGTTTGAACCCGCAACAATCTAATAGTGATTATGTTGATTATTGACTCAATGTGCATAGGTTAGGAATGATTCTTAGTTCAAATGTGCTTTGTGCCGACAACAAAATGTGGGTACACCAGTTATGTTATGTACATGTTTACGTTACTAAAATTGCTTTTTTTTTTTTTTTTTTCATTCTTAAATTAATGGTCTCATGCACTCTTTATGTTATTGTCTCAATATGACAAAATAATGAATGCAATGCAATGATTCTTTTTGTTCACGTGGAAACTTTTCAAAAAGCTCTTTGGAGTGTCCCTTCACCGCAGGGACGACGGGACCCTTTTGTTTTTAGTAAGTCGGTAATGAATTGAATTTTGATTCGAATATGATTATTCGAATATAAATTGGTATATTTTATGAAAAACTTAAATTTGATATCTTGTATTTTATTGATTTGAATTGGAATATATTTATATCCAATCAGATATGATATAATCTGATTTAAATTATTTATATATTTCTATATAAATATTAACAAAAATAAGTGATTATTTTAAAACTTTTAGTTAAAATTTAAATATAATTTATTAAAATTTAATTAATTAAGTTGTTTAGAACGGGTTAAATTTTGAATTGTTAACAGATTCTGTAGAGATAGAAAATTGGTTATACCTCTGTATGAATTTGTGATACGATTTCTGGGAATGAAGTCTGAATGATATTCTCAACTCTTTTCTGCAAAATGAACAAACTGGCCAAGATCGAAGTGTTTCGATCGAAGAAATTCCGATGTTTAAGTCAGTAATGGAACATAAAGAATTGTGCTAAGCCTAGGAGAATTCAGCGTACCTTTTACCTTGGTCTCCTCTGTTTTTTATAGATCATTATTCCCTTAGGGTTTTCACGATTTTAGGTTCAAGGTGACACACCTTCCTTTAATTCAGTCATTCGGTTTGGGAAGTTGCTAACATTTCTCCAATAATTCTTTCTAATATCTTCAATTTCGTTGATTCGTTTATCTGATTGCCTAAGTTATAGGCATATCTTTATCCTTCTATTTATCTAAAACAGCTCTGACATATCAATATGCCGAGCACACTTGATTTTTGCCGAACAAACTAAGGAACTTGTTTTGGCACAAACCGATTTTCTCAATTGCCTTGCTAAATACTTTACCAGACTCAGCTTGGTACAAACCGAGCTCTTTCATTGCTTGACCGAACAGACTGATGAGTTCAGTCATAAAGAGAACCAATATATTGTTGAACCTTTAATTAGCTCGGCTCGGTTGGAAAGCTCTTAATAGACGATCCTTCATCACGTGGCTGAACTTATCAACATCACATGAGTACATTTAATGTTGTGTTACGTGTAATTATGAGGTTTTAACCCCTTTATTTGCCCCAAAAAAATGTCTGACACACGTTTTTCGGCTGTCAGACGTTTTCTTATCGATTCATCATCACTTGTACTTTGTAACCTGCCTTTTCATTTTGGCGGCACATCTAGGGCATTTAAATATTGCCTTTTGAAATTCCTTCCTCTTCATAAACTGCCTTACTCTTCACATTTTATTCACTTCGTTTTTTGCTTTCATACTCCTATTCCCTCTTTTGCATTTCGTCTTCCCCAAGTTTGCATCATCTCTTCTTCAATGGCTCCTCTTACTTCCTCAGAAGTTCCCGCCTTCAAAATCAAATATAATATTCCTGATGACGTAGAAGTAAGGGTCGCTAGGAAAGACGAACCCTTAATAGGTACGAGAAAATCAATCCTCATCCCCACTCGAGCTATCACCGGGGGAGGCGTGCGATTTCCTCTTGATCCCCTTTTGATTTGAGTACTTTCTGCTGCGAAGCTCTATCCCCTCCAATGCTATCTGAACTTCTTCAGGATCGTCATGGGGGTGGCTTGTTTGAACAGGATTCTGAACTTGAGCCTTGGGCTGTGGGAGATCCTATACTACTACATTATCAAAACAGCAGGTGATAGTTTCTACCGATCTATGAGGAAAAAAGATCGCTACTTAGTCACTCACCTCCCAGATTCCAACAAAGGCCATGAGAACGACATAGTGTTTGTTTCTGGGAATTGGGAGTATGCCACCGATGTTGTTCCTTCGTATCGTTGTCCCTATGAAGAGGGCATGCCAGGTATTTGACATCTTTTAACTCTTGTTTTAACTTGTTTTTGTTTTATGTTCTTCTGAGGATTTTCCTCTACACAGGTGAAACTGTCAAAGGTAAGATTCCTGAGTCTTCTGTCAAGTTGGATCAACTTCAGAAGGTTTGGGACTTCAATGAGTCGTTGTTCTATCGAGCTGCTCATACATTGCTCAGATACAGTCCATCCTATTCTTCTTTCATTGTCGTGTCGAACCGACCCAATGCAACTCTTGCGGAAGATCGGGAGGCCATCCAGGCAGCTAGGGAAAAAACACCCCGAGGAAAAAAGAGAACTTCACTGGCTGCATCTGGTCATAAAACGGTAAAGAATTTTTTGGATTTTTTGTCAACAATCAAGCCTACCCTTCCTTCTGAACAAATGGTAGCAACTTCTATGCCCCCCGATTGTCATCGAAGAGGATTCTGCCGCTGAGGTTCTTGCCAAGGATGCTCTCTAAATCAATACGGATATCCTAAGCAGTGACCATGTGAATGTGGCTTCGAGCCATTAAACTTCAATTTCGGTTGACCTGAATCCCCTTACTTCTGTCCAGACCCTTCCACTTGAAGATGATTCCATTTTTGAGATTGCCGAAGTCCCAGACTCGAAGAGACAAAAATTGGTTGAGGATGAAACGACTATCTCCCCTAGATCGGCAACCCCTCCTTTTCGACCTGTGCTAGAGGCGAAAAGGAGAGAGATCACTGCAAAGGACTCTGCTATTGAGGACTTCAACATAGTAGTTGGAATTGCAAGGGGGCTAATCCTACCTCGGGACCTGGTAATGAATGAGGCGCTGAGCAACAATGAAGTATCCCGTCAAACGATTCAGCATATGGCTCTGGTAAGTCTTGTTCCCTTAATCTTTCATTTCTTTAAGATTCTTATTAAAAATTTCCTAAGTATTTTCCATCTTTATGCTTGTCAAGGGTCTTCAAAAAGTTCACGAGGTAGGAGTCGGATTGTACGTAAAGATAAAGCGATGAAAGACGTAATCCATGCCCGAGCTTCGGCCCTTGCAAAGAAAGAGAGCGTAGATGAAAAATATGTCAAACTGTGTGAAGACTTGAAGATCTTAGAGGCTCAAAATCAAAGCCTGTCTAATGAGAATTAAAATTTTTCTTCTGAAAATGAAAATTTGAAGGCGTCCGAGCACGAAGCCAATGTTGAGCTTTCTCAATCCCAGCTCGACTATGCCTCACTTCTTGAAGAATTTGATCAGTACAACGGAGAGGCCGAAGAGAAGGTGGATGTTGCTTATAATGAGGGAGTTGAGAAAGTCGAGGTTGATCTTGATCTGCAAATTCCTAAGCTCAAAGAGGCACTCTTCAGCAAGGGCTGACAAGCTGCTCTGATTGCTGCTGAGGTGGATCCTTCTTCAGAACTCTTTTCCAGGCATACAATTGTGAGCTCCTCTCAACCTCAT